CTCTCTCACACACACACACACACACACACACACACACACACACATACACCGTGACCCCCCCCTCTCTCACACACACACAACCCGTGTCGCTCCGTCTCTCTCACACAGTCCCTCTCTGTCTCACACAGTCCCTCTCTGTCTCACACACACACAATGTCCCTCCCCGTCTCAATTACACACAGACGTGTCCCTCTCTCACAGTCTGTGTCCTCCTCTCTCTCCCCAACGCTGAGCACTGAGCGATCCACACTGCGCTTGGCCTGCAGCCTTCCTTGTGGGTGTACAATGAGCTGAAACAGACCGTCACGGGGACATGGTGTATGAACAGTTTATTGAGCTTTGCGATAAATAGAAAGCTGGGGCTGTGACAGCCCCACGCTGTGTACAGCCAACCCCTGGAGGGTGGGGGGGGCGTGTACCAGTCCATGGCGGTGTGAGTGCGAGAGTGTCTGAGCCTCCCTCTCCTCAGACACACTCACCCACCGGGCACCTTCCTGCTCCTCCCGCCATCAGAACAGCTGCAGTTTCTCCTCCTTTTCTCTCTTCACCTTCAGGAACTCCGCCATGTTGGAGAAATATTTCTGATTGGCTTCAGCCACTTTCTTCTCCGCCGCCTGGGGGTTCACGATCTCCAGGCCCTGTATGTGTGTGGGGCGGGGCAGGAGGAGGAAGCAAGCACAGGCAGCTATTCCACTGCTGGGGGCTGCACACGGTCACAACGCTGTCGGCGCTCGCAGGACAAGGCGATTCAGTCCCACTGTCAACTCTCTCTCTCTCTCCCCCCCTAACCCAGGGATCACTGGGCAGGGATCAGGAATGCTGACTGATTCACTCCCCCTCTGTCTTTCTCTCTAACCCAGGGATCACTGGGCAGGGATCAGGAATGCTGTCTGATTTCTGCACTGAGTCTGTTCCCGTCTCTGGCCTTACCTGAAGTGGGGTGAAAGCCACACTTGAAGCTGTCCCAGATGATCGATCGCGAATTGTTGATTTTCCACCGTAAACCATGCTTTGTTTCTGGAGCGTTCGCTGATAGGAGTGAGTGAATGTGTGAGAGAGAGAGGGAGAGAGATTGGGACAGTCAGGAAATCTGTGACAGAACTCACTCAAAATATAATGTCACACCCAACCCTTCCCCCGCCAACGTCCTTCCTGTCCCGGGTAACGCTCCCATTCACCCCAGTTCCCCCCCCCCCCCCCCCCCCCCCCCCCCCCAAACCACGTCCTTCCTGTTCAGATTATGATCCAGTTCCATCCACTTCCTTCCAACAGTGTTTGGACACCACTGTCTAACCATCGACGTCCCCCCAAACCCCATACTTTTCATACGCACCCTACACTGAAGCAACTTGTTCCCAAGGACCTGTAGCAGAGGCTGAAGTCAGACCGAGGGAGGGAATTGTAGGGGGCTGGAGGAGGTGACGGAGATAGGGAGGGAGGGATTTGAACAGGAGGGTGAGGATTGTAGGGGGCTGGAGGAGGTGA